ACGACAGCAGGTCACAGTCATGCTGGCAGCAATCATCAAAATACTTGCAAAAGACATGCGAAACAACAGCAAGAACAACAACAGCAACAACATCAAACAGAACATCAAAAGCATCAGCATTATCTTCAACAGCAACCACAGCATCCACAGCAGCATCAGCGTTATCCTTGTTGTAGTTCCTATAATATAGAGCATAAAATGCAAATGCCAGGCTGTTTGTGTAACAAAATATATCATCAACAGCAACAGCATCCAACTGCAGTGAATCTAATAGCAACACCAGCACCACCAACCGCTGTATCAACAGTGCCTGCATTGTCTCGGACTCCACAACGACAATGCAATCATGCCTTCTATTACGGTATTGTTCCATTTTATTGTATTTCTATTTCTCTTATTTAATTTTCTTCTTTTTTTTTACAAATTTATTTATAAAAATATATTTTTTTATTTCATATTAAGCACCCGAGCATTGCATGTTGCAGTATGAAGAGCAAGACTCCGGCTTTCCGGGTCTGCGTGATCAGGAATTTTATCTGCTCCATCGCAATATACCGGCCCTGCGAAGGACGGGTATCGATACCACTGGTATACGCCAGCATTATTATCCCGATGGTGGCTGGGGTTGGATAATTTGCGGCATGTCTTTCCTAGTACACCTGTTAACTACCGGCTTACAATTATCCTACGGTTTAACTCTGTTTTATGCTTTAACGCATATCCATAATTCCAGCGGGAACGGTATGTTTCCACTTACAATAGTTTACGTAGGGTGCTAATAATTCTTACTTTACAGAATGGTTAGGTGCTCTTAGCTGGTCTATATCGATGGTGTTGACACCTTTTATCGATGTTTTGTCTAGGCGCAAATCTACAAGACTTTTGGCTGTGGTTGGAGGTTTAATCATGTCTTTGGGTATATTATTTACATCATTTGCTACGGAAGTGGATCAAATGATTTTCAGTTACGGTAAGAAATAGTAAGAAAAAAAGGATTAATAATATTTAAAAGAAT